CCCCCCGCTGGCCTCCGGGTCCCCGCGATCACCGCCACCACCACCGCGGCAAACAAAAGCACGACTCACGTGAACCCGAGAGTGCCTTAGGCTCGAGGCTTCCTCTCCCAAATTACAGTCTCCATGCCTCAGGTTAAGTGAGCTTGCAGGGAGGGGGCAGTGATTACTAGCGCTACTACGTAATAATAATTAAAAAAAATGCCAGGTCTGCGGACGAGGCCGTTACAGGTAGTTTCCGAGCCTCGTTCAGGAGCCCAAAGAACTCGAGTTTCCAGGAAAACTGCTACTCAACTCATCCGGCCAGGCGTGGGCTCACTCACCTTCTCAGGGGGCACGGCCAGCCCCGGCAAGTCCTTCTCTTCCAGTTTACACGCGAACATCGGGTCGCTCTTCCAATACATGGCCCTGCTGGGGCTGCTGGTCACATTCCAGCTCCGGAGGGGCTCTGGCGGCCGGCGTCGGCGGAGGGTCCCCCTCCCCGCCCCGAGTGCTAATCAAAGCTAGGGCGAGGGACGGGAGGGTCACAAGCTAGTCTGGTCCGGAGAGGCCGCGCTGGTCGTCGCTACCCTCCGACGCACTGTTCTTAAGAGTCTTTTCTCAACTTCACTGAGGTCTGTCCTTCCAGGAAAGGGGTGGGGGTCCAGAGGGTGGAACCTTTTACAGAGGGAGGGGTGTGTGTGGAAAGCTTTCCCGGGGAATAGCCTCACCTCCCAAGGAAAACCCGCCTTCTCTACATGTTGAGATCTTTATCTGGGCAAGCAACTTCTCCAGGTTCGGAATGGGGGGGGGGCAGCCCTGGGATGGCCTGTTAACTTGATTAAAAAAAAAAAAAGTCTGCTCTCCGCATTTGCCGGGGCTTTTAAATTCTCGCTCCCCAACCAAAACCTAAACAAAGATTCAGGTTACAAGTTTTTCAGCCGCGTGCAGAAAGGCAGCCGGGTCTCCCGGACCTGAACGGAGCAGTGGTTCTCTAGAACCGCGCCTCTCGGAGTAGTGGAGATGCCCGCGCTCGCCGCCCGGCCTGGCTCACCTAGACTTCTGCTCTCGATCCTTTTGCCAAAAGTTTTCTCTTTAAGAGAAAAGAAGGAACCAGATCTGAGAGTCACAAAAAGCTTAGGATGTGCGACTAGATTTGAAACCAAGTCTACAAGAAATACCAAAGTACGGTGCTGACGAGCATTGTTCTTTTCAGGTCATCCTAGACAAAAATTTAAGCCCCGAAGCCGCGGCCGGTGCCTCCGACTCTGGCGCGCGCGTGCGGGGGTGGGGTTCGCAGACACCGTGACTTTGGTTAGGCTTGGAGGACGTGTTTGTTCAAATAGCTTCCTTCTGACATAGATTTCACTTCATTACTTGCTGTGTGGAGACGAATTTGGTGAGAGATGATTCTGAAGTCATTTTGATTTCCAATGTGCCCCCTCGTAAGAAGCAAAAATCTTCTGAAACATGGGACTATCTGTGAGTCTCTAATAAAAACATACGATGTTGCTTCAAATAGAAATGTATCTTTCAAATATTTATGCACACAGATGGCATTATTCCTTTGTTCTCTTCGTCTAGAAGAAAATTGGAACGATCAGCTGTCCTGCCCAGGCCAGCTGCAGAGGGGCAGGCTGGCCAAAGGCACGGACACTCGCCTAAGATGAAGAGAGCCTGTGTGACAGTTTGGGGCCAAGTCAAGACTGTGAATTTGGTTTTCCTCAACCCTGTTTCTGCCCCCATAAACCATAAACAGGCGCCTTTTCCTATTGGCACTGTTTTCCCCCTGGAGCAGCTGTGCACAAGTCAACATTAGCCCTCCGGATACTGGCCCTACAAGGGACATCTCAAGTGGAGAGAGAAGGGGACGCTGTGTGAGCCTGGGTCCTGATAGAGAATTGAGGACCTGGGGTGGGTCGACTTTCAGCAAAGATAACTTGTGCGTGAGGGCCAACATGACTTATGTTTTCCAGAAAATGCGAAATTCAGTGGGGGAGGAATGGCCCCACACGATGCGTTTTCTGCGAAAGAGCGTTGTTCTGGAAATGGGGAAATGGTCATTCTGAACGGAAAGAGGCTTGCGCGAGGTTGGTGCCATACATGTATAGAGCAGGATTCCGTTGAAAGTGAAATTAAAAGTAGAGGTTCCGTTTGGAGATTTAATTACAGTTTCTTTATGTGAACGTTGGCAAAGTGATTCTGGAGTGCTATTGGACTGATATGGAGAATAATTCACGCGGGTCATTTGGAGATGCGGAGAGCCTGGAGCTGTTTGGGGGGAGTAGGGCGGGGGCGCTGGCATTTTATGCGGCCTTTCCACCCACCCTCTCCTAATCAGGCGGCTCTCAATCGGGTTTTCAAAATACTAATCTTGATCTAAGAGCTCCTATCTTTGCATAAGTGGAGGAAACGATTCATTTTTAGAGGCTTCTGGGTTTGGGGCACAAGGGTGGTCCTCGGGCATAAGCGGCAGAGTGGCCTGGCGTCTGCTCTTCTCCAGGCGCAGTCCAGCGCGGACCTCTCCCGAGGGATACTTGGGCCCCCCCCGAGCCCTCTCGCTAAGCCTCCGGGGTGAGTCCATTTCGGTGTCCCCGTCGTCTGGGGGTTGGGTGTGGAGGTGGGCAGAGGGGCGCGAGCGGATACTCCGTAGGATTTTCTAGGCTGAGCGCCCCGCCCGTCTTGGGCCTCAGGTCCTCAAGCTCCCTTGTGAGCAGGGAGCCTAAGGAGGGACGCTGCCCGCGGCGGCCAGGCTCCTTCCCACCTCCAGCCTACATTCCTCCCCGGCCCAGACTCAGAAAAAGTTGGCCGGCTACTCGGCAGAGTGCCCCCTTTTCCACTTAGGTCCTTGGACTAAAAATCAGCAGGGCTTTTTCCTTATTAAAAAAAAAATGAAAAAAAATCTTCGCACTGAGGGATTTTAGCCTGAACTCCAATGGAGACCAATTTTAAAAGGAGGAAGACGCCCCCGAAACATCCACTCCTACATCTGAAGGTGGAAAGGGACCACCCGCCTGATGTTGGCGCCCACCTGCTAAACTGAAGTTGCTAGATGCCCACCTGTTCGCAAATGAAAATCAGAGGCCGAAGGCCCACCCAGGGAACTCCCCACTCCCCTGGACCAAGATCTCTACCCGAGCAAGGGGCGGGGATGGGCGAGAGAGCCCGGAGACTTCTAGTCAGTACGGAGCTGGGCCTGCGCTCCATCCCAGCTTGTGGACGTCCGGAGTTGGGTACCTAAAACCCGAGGGGCAGGGAAGGGGTCTGGATCCCGTAGAGCAGGCCGTGATTGGAGGTCTGGGCTGGAGAGAGGGGGCACCAACCCACCCCGACGCCCACAGCTTCCTCTCACCGCGAAGAGCTGCGTAATTGGGCAGCGAGCAGCTGCGAAATTTGTAATCGTCTAATAAGGCTTCCACCTCGGTAATTCTTATCAAAAGGCATAAAACTGATATTTTCACACTCGGCTCGCACCGCAGGCGCCGTTTATAAACATCCTTCATCAGTGGGGTGAAATTAAGCCTGCATTGACAAAGGTCCCTGGAACTCGATATTTAAAAGCAACAGATCCGAATTAGCAAATTGCTGCTTTAAACACAGAAAGTCCCCGCCAACTTCACCACCTAGCCCTTAGCCTCAGTGCTCCTCGCAGTGAGTAACCACGTGTGCAGGAATTCGGGCGACCTCCAGCCCCCCTGCTTGCCGTCTCCTGCGGCTCCCAAGCCAGTGAGCGCTGGAGGACGCGCCTGGGTCGGAGCCGTGGAGACCTAGGAAAGGCGCAGCGGCAGCGGGGCCGGAAACCTGCCTGCGAGACGCGCTGCAGCCCGGACTTCAGGGCCCATAGTTGCGGGACCAGCAAATCCGCGGCCCAGCCCGCGGCCCCGTGGGCCACCTTCAGGCGCGGCGCCGAGGACAAGCGCCCCGAACACCCTCGAGAGTGACAGGAGCAGGAAGGAGCAGTCTGCCAGCGGTACTGGCGACTCCTTGGAGCCCCCAAGGGGACCGCTCTTCAGCGAGACGCTCGGAGATGGCGGATGTCC